TTTGTCTGTTTCTCCATGTTATACGTACGCGACCGATGAGATTATACAAAAGGAAATCCTTTCAGTGTTTGTCTTCTGACTTGCTTGTTCAAAGTTGATGGTAATCGAGGGTCAAAATACGCAAAACGACGAAGTACAAAATATTAGGACAGCTACATATTGGGGAGCAGATGAAATCTACTACCTGAACCAAAGTAGACACAAGAAATTTGTCCAATTAATGGGAATGTATGAACCTCTGGGTTGCGCCCACGCATCTACAGTGATGATCGAGTTTATGTGGATTCAGGGGGTGTCAGGCGATTCGGCATCCGAAGCTCGCGGTGTTGCTGGTGTCGGGATTGCGCTAAGTGTCAAGGCTGAGCGTTCACTTCTCGAATGGATCCAGATTAACAGCCGACTTTGCGCCGTACGTCTGGATGGTTCAGTACGCATCAACAGCTACAGAACGAAGCGTCGATGCTTATTCGTCGTATCGGCGTATGCACCGACCGATTGCAGTTCACCAGAAATCAAGGATGAATTCTACCAGAATCTCTCTCAACTACTCCAAAATGCTCAATCAACGGACGTCGTAGTAGTCGCCGGAGACTTCAATGCTCAAGTGGGATCCCTAGACGAATCAGAAAGGCTTCTTGGCGGACCACACACACTCCCCGCCAACCGGACGGACAACGGAGATCGCCTACTTCAATTCTGTGCCGACCACGGACTGTTTCTGTCAAGCACAAACTTCTCGCACAAAAGACGGCACCGCCTTACATGGAAGCCGCCAACCTCTTCACAACGCTGGACCCAAATCGACCACATCGCTATCAGTTACTGCTGGAGGGCATCAATTCAAGACTGTCGCTGTTACTGGTCTACAGCTGTGGACACACACCACGCCTTGTTACGAGCCAAATTTTCCTTACGCCTGGCAAACAACCGCAGAAAAGCCACCGACAACGGATATCCGCGATGCAGTGTCAGCGACTCTTGCAAATCGGCCTTCGAAGCGGAGCTCTCCGATCGCCTGTCAGTTAAACCACCAGTCGAAGGACTCAATGAACACTGGAAGCAAATCAGGGAAGCTATGCGGAAATCGATAAAAACAACGTCAGACCCTGCCACAAGTTCAAAACTCAAACGATGGATCTCGTCGACCTCGGCTGCCCTGTTGGACCCCCGCAGAACCCTTCCTCCAGATGCCACATATGACACAGCGCGCAAATCCCTTAAACGCCAGCTCATCAAGAGTCTGAGGAATGACCGCGAGAAGTGGTGGGTAGAAAGGTGTAAAGAGATGGAGAAAGCTGCGGCTATTGGTAATAGTCGTAACCTTTTCGATCTAATTGGAAATACGGGTCCTAGGAAAATAGGCGTAAGTGAGGTAATTAAGGAATCCGATGGCATACTGATTCACGATCAGCAACGCCGTCTCGACCGTATATATTAGATTATATTAACACCAATCTTTACAGATCTGGCGCCAAAAGTAACCATAGGTGAACGAAGAAAATACAGGTAAGAAAACGGGGATAACAAAACAGACAACTTCGGGGAGTAACAATTTTTTGTTTGTTTACTGCACGCCATTTTGAGTATTTTGTTGTTCGTTTTTGTTTACTTTTGGGATTGCAAACAAGAGGACACATTCACGCCACTGACTTCGGTTCGATGCCATATCCCGCAGTGTCTCCAGCCAAAGACGATCTGAATCTTTGGGGCCCCAGCCGGGGAGCCGAGAAACCCCAACGGAAGCCAGATCCGAGCACAATCTCTTTAACTCTCTGCTCCACGTCATAGCCTGCCCACCTCGTTGCTTCTTCCAGCCTGGACCAACGTCTTGACCGTTGGACTGAATATTTCAAGGCTCAGTTCATCTGGCCCCCATTGACACCTTATCTTTCACTCTCCGCCTCGACTGGATAAATACTCCCAGTTGATGCTAGTCCTC